AGAAGCAAAGAGAAGAGACGAAGAGAGGAAGGTTTTGGAGAAGGGGGCGGAACCCTCTCCTTCCCTTGTCTCTCCCTTCCTATCGTTCCTCCCTCTTTCACTTTCATTCTCTCATTCTCTCTCTTCTTCTCTCCCTCTCCCTGTCCCTCGCTCTCACTCTCCACTTCTCCTTCCTCCCCCTCATGCGTTTTCTCACTGATAAGGAGACGGGGAAGAAAGACTGGGAAAGGAACGCTCCCCCTGCCACCCCCCGTCGCAGACATTTCTTACGTATCAGAGTCCAGAAACTGAAGAGCAGAAAGCAAAGAGAGGAGAAAGTAGACATAGGCCCATAGGCGTGGGCATGACCTCTTTTTTGTTTCTGCTTTGTCTTTTATCCTTCTTCTTCCTTTTTCTATGAGAGCGCAGGGAAGAAAATGAAACGAGAGGTGGGTAAAAAGGCCCCCTCAGTCTTCCCGCAACTCTCTGGGAGAACACGACAAGACAAGGGAACCTTTACTTCAAAAGAACAGGAGACAGAAGAGAACAGAGGAGTACTGTTCGCAGATGATAAGGTATGAAGAGGGACCAGATAACTTGTCACTCCATCTGCCCTCTTCCTTGCTGTCCTCTTTTCTTCTTCCTCTTCTCTCCTCCTTTTCTCGCGAATGAGATATATAGGAAGAAATGGTGAGGAAGAACAGACTGAAGTGGAAAGCAAAACAACAGAAAGTTGCCACGCCTTGCGGTTGCTCGCCTTTCCTCTTCATTATCTATATATCTATCTATCTACCTACACCCTCTCTCTCTCTCTTTCTTTCCCTTTCCTCTCTCTTTCATTCTCAATCTCTCATTCTCTTTCTTCCTCTCTCCCTCTCCTTGTCCCTCGCTCTCACTCTCCACTTCTCCTTCCTCCCCCTCATGCATTTTCTCATTGATAAGGAGACAGGGAAGAAAGATTGGGAAAGGAACGCCCCCCCCCCTGCCACCCCCTGTCGCGGACATTTCTTACGTATCAGAGTCCAGAAATTGAAGAGCAGAAAGCAAGAGAGGAGAAAGTAGACATAGGCCCATAGGCGGGGGCATCACCTCTTTTTTGTTTCTGCTTTGTCTTTTATCCTTCTTCTTCCTTTTTCTATGAGAGCGCGGGAAAGAACAGGAAAGGAGAAGCAGGAAAAAAGGCCCCCGCAGTCTTCCCGCAACTCTCCAGGAATACACGACAAGACAAGAAAACGGAGAGCTTGTCGTTCCCCCAATCCCTTGCTCAGCTTTGCCACATCGAGGCAGACAAAAAGGCAAGGAGGACGGGCGCACAAAAGGAGGCCCATTTGTGCCTGTCTTCCTTCTGCTCTTTAATTCCTTCCTTTCCCACTGTTGTCAGAAAAGAAGCAGCAAAGAGAAGAGACGAAGAGAGGAGAGGAACGAAGAAAGATTTGGAAAAGGGGGCGGAACCCTCTCCTTCCCTTATCTCTCCCTTCCTATCGTTCCTCCCTCTTTCACTTTCATTCTCTCATTCTCTCTCTTCTTCTCTCCCTCTCCCTGTCCCTCGCTCTCACTCTCCACTTCTCCTTCCTCCCCCTCATGCGTGTTCTCATTGATAAGGAGACAGGGAAGAAAGACTGGGAAAGGAACGCTCCCCCTGCCACCCCCCGTCGCAGACATTTCTTACGTATCAGAGTCCAGAAACTGAAGAGCAGAAAGCAAGAGAGGAGAAAGTAGACATAGGCCCATAGGCGGGGGCATGACCTCTTTTTTGTTTCTGCTTTGTCTTTTATCCTTCTTCTTCTTCCTTTTTCTATGAGAGTGCAGGAAAGAACAGGAAAGGAGAAGCGGAAAAAAGGCCCCCGCAGTCTTCCCGCAACTCTCCGGGAATTCACGACAAGACAAGAAAACCTAGAGCTTGTCGTTCCCCCCTTCCCTTGCTCAGCTTTGCCACATCGAGGCAGACAAAAAGGCAAGGAGGACGGGCGCACAAAAGGAGGCCCATTTGTGCCTGTCTTCCTTCTGCTCTTTCATTCCTTCCTTTCCCACTGTTGTCAGAAAAGAAGCAGCTAAGAGAAGAGACGAAGAGAGGAGAGGAACGAAGAAGGATTTGGAGAAGGGGGCGGAACCCCCTCCTTCCCTTATCTCTCCCTTCCTATCGTTCCTCCCTCTTTCACTTTCATTCTCTCATTCTCTCTCTTCTTCTCTCCCTCTCCCTGTCCCTCGCTCTCACTCTCCACTTCTCCTTCCTCCCCCTCATGCGTTTTCTCATTGATAAGGGGACAGGGAAGAAAGACTGGGAAAGGAACGCTCCCCCTGCCACCCCCCGTCGCAGACATTTCTTACGTATCAGAGTCCAGAAACTGAAGAGCAGAAAGCAAGAGAGGAGAAAGTAGACATAGGCCCATAGGCGGGGGCATGACCTCTTTTTTGTTTCTGCTTTTTGTGTTTTATCCTTCAAAAAGGCCCCCGCAGTCTTCCCGCAACTCTCCGGGAATTCACGACAAGACAAGAAAACGGAGAGCTTGTCGTTCCCCCTTCCCTTGCTCAGCTTTGCCACATCGAGGCAGACAAAAAGGCAAGGAGGACGGGCGCACAAAAGGAGGCCCATTTGTGCCTGTCTTCCTTCTGCTCTTTCATTCCTTCCTTTCCCACTGTTGTCAGAAAAGAAGCAGCTAAGAGAAGAGACGAAGAGAGGAGAGGAACGAAGAAGGATTTGGAGAAGGGGGCGGAACCCTCTCCTTCCCTTATGTCTCCCTTCCTATCGTTCCTCCCTCTTTCATTTTCATTCTCTCACTCTCTGTCTTCTTCTCTCCCTCTCCCTGTCCCTCGCTCTCACTCTCCACTTCTCCTTCCTCCCCCTCATGCGTTTTCTCATTGATAAGGAGACAGGGAAGAAAGACTGGGAAAGGAACGCTCCCCCTGCCACCCCCTGTCGCAGACATTTCTTACGTATCAGAGTCCAGAAACTGAAGAGCAGAAAGCAAGAGAGGAGAAAGTAGACATAGGCCCATAGGCGGGGGCATGACCTCTTTTTTGTTTCTGCTTTGTCTTTAATCCTTCTTCTTCCTTTTTCTATGAGAGCGCAGGAAAGGAAAGGAAAGGAGAGGCGGGAAAAAATGCCCCCGCAGTCTTCCCGCAACACTCTGGGAAAACACGACAAGACAAGGGAACCTTTACTTCAAAAGAACAGGAGACAGAAGAGAACAGAGGAGTAATTTTCGCAGATGATAAGGTATGAAGAGGGACCAGATAACTTGTCACTCCATCTGCCCTCTTCCTTGCTGTCCTCTTTTCTTCTTCCTCTTCTCTCCTCCTTTTCTCGCGAATGAGATATATAGGAAGAAATGGCGAGGAAGAACAGACTGAAGTGGAAAGGAAAACAACAGAAAGTTGCCACGCCTTGCGGTTGCTCGCCTTTCCTCTTTGTTATCTATCTATCTACCTGCACCCTCTCTCTCTCTCTCTCTTTCTTTCCCTTTCCTCTCTCTTTCATTCTCAATCTCTCATTCTCTTTCTTCCTCTCTCCATCTCCTTGTCCCTCGCTCTCACTCTCCACTTCTCCTTCCTCCCCCTCATGCGTTTTCTCATTGATAAGGAGACAGGGAAGAAAGACTGGGAAAGGAAAGCTCCCCCTGCCACCCCCTGTCGCAGACATTTCTTACGTGTCAGAGTCCAGAAACTGAAGAGCAGAAAGCAAGAGAGGAGAAAGTAGACATAGGCCCATAGGCGGGGGCATGACCCCCTTTTTGTTTCTGCTTTGTCTTTTATCCTTCTTCTTCCTTTTTCTATGAGAGCGCAGGAAAGGCAAGGAAAGGAAAGGAGAGGCGGGAAAAAAGGCCCCCTCAGTCTTCCCGCAACACTCTGGGAAAACACGACAAGACAAGGGGCACGGAGAGCTTGTCGTTCCCCCCCTCCCTTGCTCACCTTTGCCACATCGAGGCAGACAAAAAGGCAAGGAGGACGGGCGCACAAAAGGAGGCCCATTTGTGCCTGCCTTCCTTCTGCTCTTTCATTCCTGCCCTTTCCCACTGTTGTCAGACAAGAAGAAGCAAAGAGAAGAGACGAAGAGAGGAGAGGAATGAAGAAGGTTTTGGAGAGGGGGGCGGAACACCCTTCTCTTATCTCTACCTTCCTATTCTTTTCATCTTTCCGGCGGTTCCTTCCATAACTTGGACTTGTGAGAAAGCGACGAGAGGCCAAGAGGAGGGGGGTGACTCGCTATTGTGTTACTTCATAGTTGTTTCATTTTTCTTGAAAAACAGAAAGGCCCCCTCCGACTTGTTTCCAAGGATGAGTGAGTTTGCTAAGCCATAAACCCAACTCTGACATGCTTCAGGCATAAAGCATTCAATGGTTTTAATAGGGAAAGAAGGACAAGACCTCACATTATACCTAAAGGTCCATGGCACATAAACCCTATAGACTCTATAAACCCCCAAAGGGGCAGTGGGAATTCCCAGAAGGTTTTGGACTATTAGTATAATAATGGGGGGAACATCCCAAACGTTGGCGCATGTAGGTTTTCGGCTGGAAAGCCGGCTTGGCAAGAAGGTGCTTTGTTGTGGGGTTTTGTGCTCGGGGGCGGGTAGTGGGAGTTTGGTGGGATTGTGGTGGGATTGTTGTGATTATGTTGTTGCGCTGGGACTTGTCAGGTTTTTTGTGAGATTTTTGTGGGAGGTTGTACTTTTTTGTTTTGTTAAAGATTGCGGGTTTTTGCCAGATCAAGGCAACGCCACCAGGTCTAGAGGCAACGACAGGGACGGATCAGTTTACTCCTAGTCTGGTTGCGAACTCGTTTGCTTGATGAGTAAACCCAGAACCCCAATCCTCGCAGAACCCCAAATCCCAAGCACTAAGCCTCAACCGAACTGAACCCCAAACCCCCAACCCCCAACCCCAAACCCCAAACCCCAAACCCCAAACCCCAAACCCCAAAACCCAAACCCTAAACCCTAAACCCTAAACCCTAAACCCCAAACCCTAAACCCTAAACCCTAAAACCCTATCAGTGATGGCGCCTGTAGGGAACTCCCAAGGTCGCCTCGCTGCGGACCTTGGTCCTTTCCATCGCGAGCAGCATCTGGTGCCTCGGCGACCCCTTGCCTGAGTTGATGCGCGCTTTAAGAGGTTTGGGGGGGGGGGGGTTTAGTTTAGGGTTAACCCTAAACCCTAAACCCTAAACCCTAAACCCTAAACCCTAAACCCTAAACCCTAAACCCTAAACCCTAAACCCTAAACCCTAAACCCTAAAAAACCTAAACCCTAAACCCTAAACCCTAAACCCTAAAAAAACCCTAAACCTACAAAACCCTAAACCCTAAACCCTAAACCCTAAACCCTAAACCCTAAACCCTAAACCCTAAACCCTAAACCCTAAACCCTAAACCCTAAACCCTAAACCCTAAACCCTAAACCCTAAACCCTAAACCCTAAACCCTAACCACCATCGAGTTCCCTAAGCCCCACCAAGTTCGCAGGCCGGTAAAAGGCGTAAAGCCTTCGACTGGGAGGTCGACGACGGCCGGTTGAGCGTTTGGGGTTTAGGGGTTTCGGGTTTGGGGTTTTAGGGTTTAGGGTTCCATAGGGTTTTAGGGTTCAGGGTTCTAGGGTTTTGGGGGTTTAGGGTTTTAGGGTGTAGGGTTTAGGTCTAGGGTTTTAGGGGTTTAGGGTTTAGGGGCTTAGAGTTTGGGGTTTAGGACTCTTGGTAGCCCTGTGACACCCTTGTTCCCCTTAGATTTATGGGTTCTAGGTTCCCGCAAAAACATTACCAACAGCAAAAGAGCAAACCCCAAACCCTAAACCCTAAAACCCTAAAACTCAAAACCCCTAAATCCCAAAGCCCTAAACCCTAAACCCCTGAAACCCTAAACCCTTAAACCCTAAAACCCTAAACCCCTAAGTCCCAAGCCCCTAAACCCTAAACCTCTAAAACCCTAAACCCTAAACCCTCAAATTAAAACCCTAAACCCTTAAACCCTAAACCCCGAAGCCGGAAATTCTAGACACTAAGCCCGCAAAACCCCTAAGCCCTAAGCCCTCAAACGCTACACCCAAGCTTAGTAGGCTTCTTAGCCCTAAGCCCCTAAGCCCTAAATCCTGAAACCAAAAACCCTAAATCCTAAACCCCAAACCCCTAAACCCTAAACCCTAAAACCCCTGAAACCCTAAAACCCTAAACCCCAAAATCCCAAGGCCCTAAAGCCTAAACCCCTAAAACCCTAAACCCCCCAATTCCAAAGCCCTAAAACCCTAAACCCCTGAAACTCCTAAATTAAATCCAGGTCGCTGATGTGGACCGCTCTCCTTCTGATTCTCATTATCTACAGCTTCGCGGTCGCTCGGGAAGTCAAGTCTCAACTCTGAGCCCGTTTTCTTTTTAGGGTTTAGGGTTTAGGGTTTAGGGTTTAGGGTTCAGGGTTCAGGGTTTAAGGGTTTAGAGTTTAGGCTTTGGGTTTCAGGGTTCATGGTTTAGGGTTCAGGGGTTAAGGTTTTAGGGTTCAGTGTTTAGGGTTCAGGGTTCAGGGTGTAAGCTGTAGTTTGCTGAGGCCTAGGGTGTGCTGGGCAGGGCGTGCAAAGCAGGAAATGGAATGCTTATAGGGTGTCCGGGGTCAGGGTCTTACATATTATGTTAGAAATGTGTACTGGGATGTTCCCCTTATACGAGCAGCCCTCAATTGAAGGGCGTACTAGAAATTCGATTGAGGATTGCTAGAAAGGGGAAGCATGGAAGAACAGCCCGTGAGAGTGCAAAAAGTAGCCTGGAGCTGTTGACGCAAGTACCCAGAGGGTCCATTTATAGTACCGTTATGGAATAGGTACCCTAAACCCTAAACCCTAAACCCTAAACCCTAAACCCTAAACCCTAAACCCTAAACCCTAAACCCTAAACCCTAAACCTTATTTAGTATGGTTTTTGGGTACCTAAATCCATAATAGTAATACAAATGGACCCTCTGGGACGTAGGGTACATGTAGCCCGTGAATTGTTCGGGCTCTCGGAGTCCAGGGCCGGTTTAGGGTTTAGGGTTTAGGGTTTAGGGTTTAGGGTTTAGGGTTTAGGGTTTAGGGTTTAGGGTTTAGGGTTTAGGGTTTAGGGTTTAGGGTTTAGGGAAACCCCCCCCAACACTTGGTTGAACGCGTGTGCGACCCTTTTGCCTAGCTGAGGTCATCCTCACACAGCTCCTTGGTGTGGCAATCCAGGGCTTACAGGGTTTGGGACCTTGTGCTTGGGGTTTTTAAAGCCTGGGGTTCCCTTTGCGACCAAAGGATCCTTCAACCCTAAGCCCTAAAACCCCAAACCCTGAACCCTAAACCCTAAACCCTGAACCCTAAACCCTAAACCCTGAACGCTAAACCCTAAACCCTTCTTGCCCCCCCCCCCCCCCCCCCCTGTTGCTTTCGCGTTGAGGGATTTGGGGCCCAGAGGTATCCCACAGTGAGACAGATCTCCAACGCAAAGGGGGAGGCCATACGCACGTGGCAAGCCTTGAAGCCTCCAGTTCGGCTGCGGTGGGTTTAGGGTTTAGGGTTTAGGGTTTAGGGTTTAGGGTTCAGGGTTTAGGGTTTAGGGTTTAGGGTTTAGGGTTTTATGGGGTTTTTGGGGTTTAGGGTTTGGGGTTTATAGGGTGTCGGCTATAGGGCATAGGGTTTAGGGTTTACGGTTTAGGGTTGAGGGGTTTAGCGACCCCTTTCGAAGTCCGTGGGTTTAGGGGTTAAGGCGGTTAAGGGTTGAGTGTGTCTTTATGGTTTCCAGGGCTTTGGGAATCCTAAGCCCTAAACCCCAAGAAGCAGTCAGGTTGGTCAACGACTTCTGCCGGTACGAGACAGTGCTTCTTGACACGGTTGCGGCTGCTGTGGTCTCAAAACCCTGGTTTGGGGATTCAACCCTGAACCCTAAAGCCCGAAACCCTAAACCCCAAAATCTAAATAAACACCAACCCCTAAACCCTATAAACCGCGAGAAGCGCTGTGCCGCACCCGCAGCCCTCATTGGTTTTAGGTTTCAGGGTAGGGTTCAGGGTTTAGGTTTCGGGCTTAGGGTTTGGGTTTAGGGTTTAGGGTCTAATGTTTGGGGTTCAGGGTTTAAGCTTCAGGGTCTAGGGAACCCTAAGCCCCAGTGACACGAGGTTGTAGGATTCTGGTATGAAGTCAGGGTCGGGCCTTTGGGTTTAGGGCTTGCGCAGCGGAAGCCCCTCAAAACACTGAACGCGTGAATCTGAACCCTGAACCCTAAACCCTAAAACCTAAACCCTAAACCCTAGACCCTAAACCCTAAACCCTAAACCCTAAACCCCTAAACCCCTAAACCCCTAAACCCTAAACCCTAAACCCTAAACCCTAAACCCTAAACCCCAAACCCTAAACCCTAAACCCTAAACCCTAAACCAAGCTCGAATCCAAGGCGGATCATGCAGGACACCAACGCAGTGCCCAGCTGCAGGAACTTTCCGGACCTCGAGAGGCGGGTGTCAGGGGTTTGTCAAGGGTTCCGGGGTTAGGGTTTAGGAGTTCTGGTTTGTCTAAAACCCTAAACCCTAACACCTAAACCCTAACCCCTAAACCCTAAACCCTAAACCCTAAATCCGAAAACGGTTCAAGGGGGTTTCGCGCCAGGGGCTTCGGATTGTTCAGGGTTCATAATTGTTGTGGTGAGTGTCTGCAGGGTTCCTCGACCAAAGAACTACAAGTGGGGGTGCTGCCCTAAACCCTAAACCCTAAAACCCTCAGACCCTAAACCCTAAAACCCTAAACCCTTAGAACTCGTAAAACCCTACACCCTAAACCCTAACCCCAAATCCTAAACCCTAAACCCTCAATTTTGTGGGACCCAGGACCTGAACAAGTGAAGGCTCAAGCCCTTTAAAGCCCGAAGAAGCCTTGAAGGGCCTGGAGGAACCCACCCCCAACCCCTACCTCGGGTTAAGGGTTAAGGGTTTAGGGTTTAGGGTTAAGGGTTTATGGTTTAGGGTTTAGGGTTTAGGGTTGAGGGGTACCAAATGAAGCCTAACGGGTTTACCAATTTTTGGGGGCTCACGTGGTTCCCAAGCTACCTCGCGCTACATATTTAGGGTTTAGGGTTTAGGATGGCTATTTTGGGGGGTTGTGTGCCGCATATTTAGGGGAGTTGTGACCTACCGTTTTGGAGGGTTTGGGAGTCACAGGTTTTCCCTAAGCCGTAGAAGGCTTCTCTGCTTGAACTTTCTTGGTGAGTTTTCACAGCTCAACCTCATCCCTAAACCGGACTTGTAAGGGTTTCTTATCAGGTTTTTGTGGGGGCTTTGTTAGGTTAATTTTAAACCTTGAGGAGGATGGTGACTTGAAATTTCACAAGTCGGACACTGCAATGCCCTTGAGTAAGGAATGTCCCTTGCTTTGGGGCTTAGGGTGTTCAAGGAAGATCGTGTCCTCAACCCTTAACCCAAAACCCTAAACCCTAAACCCCAAACCCTAAACCCTGAACCCTAAACCCTGAACCCTAAACCCTAAACCCTAAACCCTAACCCCTGAACCCTTGTGGGAAGGTCCCTTAACTAAGGGCCCCTGGGAACGCAGGTACTGGTCCAGCCTGTCGGTGGCTTGGCTGCGATCCCCAGGGCCGACTTCCTAAAGGGCCATTGCCCTGGCTGAAAGAGGGTTTGGGGATGAACCCTCTAGCCCTAAACCCTAAACCCTAAACCCTAAACCCTAAACCCTAAACCCTAAACCCTAAACCCTAAACCCTAAACCCTAAACCCTAAACCCTAAACCCTAAACCCTAAACCCTAAGCCCTAAACCCTAAACCCTAAACCCTCTCTACCCTTATAGATTTAAAACCCTATTAACTTTTTGGTGCGTTTACCCCCCGTTGTTGAGCACTTTTTGGTGCAATCGGCACCGTTCTTGAGCCATTTTTGGTGCGTCGGCACCGTTCTTGAGCCTTTCTTGGTGCGTCGGCACCGTTCTTGAGCCTTTTTTTGTGCGTCGGCACCGTTCTTGAGCCTTTTTTGGTTCGTCGGCACCGTTCTTGAGCACTTTTTGGTGCGTCGGCACTTCTTGAGCCTTTTTTGGTGCGTCGGCACCGTTCTGGAGCCATTTTTGGTGCGTCGGCACCGTTCTTGAGTGGAATTTAATATTCCTCAATATTATGGTTTTCTTTGGGTGGGTGGGTTTATTCCTTAGCCTGGAACCCCTAAGGACCAGGGAATGCTAGAACAGTGACCCTCTAGACCCTACACCCTAAACCTTTTTTGCCCTAAACCCTAAACCCTAAACCCTAAACCCTAAACCCTAAACCCTAAACCCTAAACCCTAAACCCTAAACCCTAAACCCTAAACCCTAAACCCTAAACCCTAAACCCTAAACCCTAAACCCTAAACCCTAAACCGGCCCAAGGAGAGTATGCTCACCCTCTTCTTCTGCATCTCCGGCGGGGTCGACTGGTCGGCTGCCATGCTTCCTCTGGGCGAGGCCCTTTTGTCCCCCAAGGTTAGGGTTTAGGGTTTCGGGTTTAGGGTTTCGGGCTTAGGGTTTCTGGTTTAGGGTTGAGGGTTTAGCCCATCCACAGCTAGCCGGGCATTGGGTTTAGGGTTTAGGGTTTAGGGTTTAGAGGGCCGCTACCCCCCTGCAGCCCCCCCCAAAAGGACTTCATGAAGCGTAGCTTATGTGTGGCAGCAGCAGGATAGGGATAGCATAGGACCCCGTGAATCCTGACACCAGAGCCGATGTGGATTTCCGGGTTTAGGGTTTAGGTCTTAGGAGTTTTTGAACCTATAAGCTGGAAACCTCAAACCGTGGTTTAGGGTTTAGGGCTTGGGGTAACCGGGGGAAACCCTAAAACCCCGCAGAGTGTGTGTTTGCCGGGTAGGGCCTCAGGGATGTAGGGCCTCTCCCTTATGACAAGCTTAGGCCTTTTTAGGTCATACCGGGGCAACTGAAGGCCATGAGCAATACCCAGACTCTACCGAACTCTAAGGTGACTCCTGAAAGGAACTCTAAACTTACCCCCAAACCCTAGAAATCCGTCGACTCCCAGGCCCAAGACCAAAAAACCCTAAGCCTGAAATCCCAAACCCCAACCACTAGGCAGTGAGTGGGTAGTTCTCGAAATGAGGATCTCCACAAGGTCGTTATTCTTAGGGTGCCATGCTGTATAAGGGGACCCCACCACCCAGAGAGACTCCAAAGGCCCCTTAATTAAAGAGTATCCCCTAAATCATACTAGGGTTCCTGCTACAATCTACGGGACAGTCCTTACTTAGGGGTTTTGGAGTCTCTGGCCCTCAGCCCTAAACCCTAAACCCTAAACCCTAAACCCTAAACCCTAAACCTCATGTCGAGAACTGCCCAATGTACTTTTGCCCCGCAGGTCTCGGCGCTGGCGGGGGCCACGCTCGTGCTGTGCCCTTCGTAGCCTGCAGGGTTCTACTTGGAGGTTCATGGTACTTGGGGTTTAGGGTTTAGGGTTTAGGGTTTAGGGTTTAGGAGTACTCATCAACCAATTATGAATGTACTCATAACCCACTTATGAGCCCCTTAAGTGCCCTAAAATGGTTAAAAGTGCAGCTACAAGTACAGTAATAATTGGTCAATAAGTACCATGAACCTCCAAGTAGGGGCCCTTGGAATCTTTCGCGCGTTCCCTAACAGGGGTTTAGGGTCTAGGGCGATCTTCCCTTATTGAATTCTCGACGATCCTGCTTGGGAATGATGATTTTCAGAGTTGGGGTTTGCAGGGTTTAGGCTTGTTTTTAGGCAGGGTTTAGGCTGCCACCCTTCAGCCACCTGGGGCAGAAATCTGCCATGAGAAGCCACGGCCGAGAGAGATGTGCCCAGCCAGGCTCGACTCGACCAAGCCCTCTCCCGCATCCCTCATCCCTGATCCCTCACTCAAGAAGCTTCCCTGAACCCTAAACCCGAAACCCTAAACCCTAAACCCGAAACCCGAAACCCTAAACCTCAACAACCGCGAGTAGCTCGAGTAGCTCCCGCCCCTTAGCATACGGGCGCCGCCAGTGGCCGGATCAATTTCTTCTGAAATTTCCGGAGTGGCACCCATCTACAGCCCCAGCAGCAAGCGTAGTGCCCGAGTGACACTGCGGCGCCATCAAAAATGCACACCAACTGCAGCCCCATTGCGAGATGTAGGTCTAGCGGTGGAGACTAGGAAAGCGAGTGCAAAGGCATCTCACACTCCGTGGCAGCAAGCGGTATAGGGGCTTTTGCAAGTGCATGCAACAGTGCAGGATCCGATCCGACACCCTATACCCCCTGCCCCAACCCTGTTGCCCATTGAACGACCGGGCGAGCAAGGGCTGCGAACCGGAGGCTGTCAAGAACAAGGCCTCTGTGCGTACTTGTGAAATGCAGGCACCAAGCTCTTCCCACGTCCGCTGGTGTCTTCACTGACGTTGCGGCGAGGATGCTGCCGAACACATGGCAACCCTAAACCCCAAACCCGAAACCCTAAACCCCAAGCATCAAGCAGCAGACGGGTGCCTGTTTGTATTGGGGGTTTACGAAAAGAACGGGCCCTGAATGTGGACCCACCAATAGTAGGATTTCGCAACAACAAGGACCCCAATAAGGTACCCCCTAACTTCGGAAAACCCCTAATGGCTTGCGCCGCGTGGCTGTGCTTTAGGTGCTTAGTGGCACTGATGCCGTCGATAAACTCGGTCCACAGGTTGCCTGAACCTTACATACAGGACACAATCCCGAACCCCACCCTTACAATATGGCCCCGAGACCGGAGAAAGCACGATGAGGGCCTTGGAGGCCCAAATGTTTCCGCCAACTTCATGTAGAACTCGGTTTGAAAAAATCCCGAGAATCTCAAAGACTCGCGGAGGTACATCATCATCACAGTCTTCGCTGTCATCAATGTGGTGACAGGCCCGCATGTCGTGAAGGAGTTGCCCTTACTGCAATATTGTTCCTGGGCGACCAAGGTGTTGGTCGGTCTCCCGGTAGTCCAACTGACCGTTTCCCAGGGATTCACCCGCTTTTTTTTGTTTCTTGTTTCTCTGTTTCGGCCTCATCGAAACCCTAAACCCTGCAAACCCTACCTAAACCCCTGAACCCTGAACCCTGAACCCTGAACCCTGAACCCTGAACCCTGAACCCTGAACCCTGAACCCTGAACCCTGAATCCTTCCCCAAACCCTCAACCCTGCTTGCGCTTGGGAGCTAGATCTCGGGGTGTCGGGTTCAATCTTTAGAAGTTGGGGTCCAGGAGTTTAGGGTTTAGGGTTTAGGGTTTAGGGTTTGGGGTTTAGAGGGAAGTCCGTTCTTTGCCTTCAGCGGTTGGCTAGAAAGTCGTGTCTGGCGTGACCGGCCCTTGCGCTGGTGCGTTGGCAGCGTCCGCGTCGCTAAGCCCTAAGCCCTAAGCCCTAAGCCCTAAGCCCTAAGCCCTAAACCCTAAACCCCTAAACCCCTAAACCCTAAACCCTAAACCCTAAACCCTAAACCCTGAAGGTACATGAACCATTTTACGGTTCATGTGGTCCCCGAGGTTGATCAGCTGTTTTCACTCCCTGCGTTCTTCCGGACGGCGGGCAAGTCTTCTGTTGGGGTCGCTTTCTGACGGGCGATCGACATGCGATCCCTATACCCTAAACCCTAAGCCATAAACCCTAAACCCTAAACCCTAAATCAACGTCTCCCCCCCCCCCCCCCTGCTTGCTGCTTCACCGGCTTGGTTCTATGGCAGATAAACGTCAGCTTGGCAATTGGGCCATTTGCGTTGTCCCTGTGAGCGCAGCCCTTTGGCTGCGCTCACGTCCGGTCTTTCTTGCTTGTCCGCTCCATTGTCTTAGTAGCTGAGTGAGTAAGTACACTTAACCCTAAACCCTAAACCTAAACCCTAAACCCTAAACCCTAAACCCTAAACCCTAAACCCTAAACCCTGGGGATCTTCTAATCCCCTACAGAACTGACAGTGTACACTTTTTTGGGGCCTGTGAACTCAGCAACTAAGTTGTCGATTTGGCTGGGGCAGCAAGGCTCAGATTCTGCAAGGTCCTTCCCTACTTAGGCCAAGGGTTTAGGGTTTAGGGTTTAGGGTTTAGGGTTCAGGGTTTAGGGTTTAGGGTTTGGGGTTTAGGGTTTAGGGTTTAGGGTTTAGGTTTAGGGCCAAGACCATGAATCACTAGCTTGGGCGATCATGTTGAGGTTGTTTGCGTGGCTGCCGTTGGCTTGCTGGTTGTTCTCAGTCCACGCGATATGGGGGGTTTCCGAAAAAAGGGGTAATCTCGCAAGCTCCTTCCCGGAAGTCGCCGTCCTCGCGGGATTGCAGCATGACCTCACTACGTGCATGAACAGGATCCGTCAGGAGAGGGCGAGGTTCGACGCCAGCAGTGGGGGGAAAGAAGCCGAAGTTGCAGTACGTGAGCATCAAGGAGCTGATACTGCACACCGTGGGCTATCGAGTGTCACATCAGCTGCTGTTGCCACCTGCCCTCAAGGTCTGCGCGATGGCATCGAACCTCGTGCACGGTGCCGCTGTGGTGAACCTAAAAACAAGGGAGATAAAGAAGGATTCGAAGACGGGCGCCGTTCCCGTGAAAGCTGACCTGGTCATCCTGTACACAGGGTCGCAGGACGAGTATCATTGGGGTTATTATTATAAGACCTTAAACCCTAAACCCTAAACCCTAAACCCTAAACCCTAAACCTTAAACCCTAGGGGGGGGAGGGGGAGGCAGCTGGCACCGAAACAAGTATCCCAAAAAATGTGAATGTGTGTACATATCTATATATACATATATATATATATGTATACACCTATAGATATGTATAAGTATATGATTGGGATCGCCTTAGATTCTCTCTTTTTGCCCAAGCCCCGTGTGATTCGCTTGATTGTTTCGTTTTGGTGGTGACTTCAGCTTGTAGCTTTTACTAGCTGCCTTTTGAAGTATACTTGCCCTGTGCGCCCAGGGCAACAGGGCTGCCCTGTCCATTTGGGGGCTGCCGGCACCCGAAAAAGTTAGTTAGTTCCTAAGCCCTTTGCGGAGGCGTCTTCTGCAACACCGCCATCGAGAGCGCTGCGGCAGACAAGGACCTGGAGTAGCCAAGCCCAAGCCCCAAAGGCCCAAAGGGCCAAATCCCTCAGGCCCTTGCAGGGCTTTTCGGCTTTTTTAGGCTTGTTGGAGCTGTTTGGGTTTGGTGTCCATTCGTCTAGTGAAATCCCCCCAAACCCTGTCTTGTGTTGAGGAGTGAGAGCAAACAAACTCCTCGAAAGCAAGAATTTGGGTGTAGGATCTAGAGGTTAGGGTCTACAGGTTGAGGAAGAGCCTAAACCCTATACCCTAAACCCTAAACCCTAAACTCTTCACTCTAAGTTTTTGCTCGCTCGAGCTTCATAAGAGGCCTCAAGCTGTCGTCCCCTAAACCCTGCACCCCAAAAAAATCGACCCTACACACAGACGGACAAAAACCCAATGAACTCCACAAAGGCCTAAACCCTCAACCCTCAACCCTAAACCCTCAACCCTCAACCCTAAACCCCAAACCCTAAACCCTAAACCCTACACCCTGAACCCTGAACCCTGAACCCTAAACCCTATATCCTAAACCCTAAACCCTAAACCCTGAACCCTAAACCCCCCCCCCCCCCCCCCGTGTACCCCTCAAGGCCTACGCCCAGAGCGAAACTGCTCTAGGCGGAATCCCCCTAAGATTCTGAAAGCCTTTGACGGGGATTAGGATTCTACTTTCAGAAGCCAAACCCCCTTAACCCGCAAACCCTAAAGCCCTAACCCTAAACCCTAAACCCCAGTATACCCTATACCCTAAACCCTAAACATTAAACCCCTAAACCCCTAAACCCCTAAGCCCAGTCTACCCTAACTCCCCGGATCCAAGCGCGGGTCAAAGAGAGCAAAGCTCCCGGGGTTTAGGGTTGAGGGTTTAGGGCTTAGGGCTTAGGGTTTCGGGATTACCTGCCGCGCTTGGGTTGTCGGGTTGGGGGGCTTCTTTCATGTCTTGTGCTACAGAGCCGAGTCGAGTCGCAGGGTTTGGGTTTCAGTTTCGTGGGTGGCTTCATGCCCGAAACCCTAAACCCTAAACCCTAAACCCTAAACCCTAAACCCTAAACCCTAAACCCTAAACCCTAAACCCTAAACCCTAAACCCTAAACCCTAAACCCTAAACCCTAAACCCTAAACCCTAACCCTAAACCCTAAACCCTAAACCCTAAACCCTAAACCCTGGCTTCATGAGCTCGTCACGGCTCATCTTTCTGGTGTGCCCTAACACCCTTGCTAAGGTGCAGGGCGATCAGGGCTTAGGACTCCTCAACCCTGAACCCTGAACCCTGAGCCCTGAGCCCTGAACCCTGAACCCTAAACCCTGAACCCTAAACCCTAAACCCTAAACCCTAAACCTAAACCCTAAACCCTAAACCCTGAACCCTAAACCCACAACCCCCCTAAGCTGCTTTCGTAAGATGGGCGAGAGGACATTGCCATCATGAAGCAGATGCAGAGACAGAAGGCCCAGGCCTGCAGCGACAAGAGTCAGTTTAGGGTTTAGGGTTTAGGGTTTAGGGTTTAGGGTTTAGGGTTTGGAGTTTAGGGTTTTAGGGTTTATTGTCTAAGGTTTAGGGTTAGGGTTTGGGGTTTGGGGTTTGGGGCTTGGGGGTTTGGGGGGGCGGGGGGGGGGGGGGTCTATGGGTCCAGGGTTTGTGGTTCGGGGTTTGGGGGTTTTTCAGTTTAGGGGGTTTAGGGTTTGGGGACATAGGGATTTCGGGTTTACGGGTTAAGGGGTTTGGGGATTTAGGGTTCAGTTTTGGGGCGTGCAGGGGGTCTAAACGTTTGCCCCTTCCTTGTTGCAAAGATCTCCTAACTGCAAGACCCTAAACCCTAAACCCTAAACCCTAAACCCTAAACCCTAAACCCTAAACCCTAAAACCCTAAACCCTAAACCCTAATCCCGAAACCCTAAACCCTAAACCTAAACCCTAAACCCTTAACCCTTTTTCAGGGTTAAGGTTAGCCGCTTGACTCCCATACCGACCAAGACCAAAACTTCGATCCCTAAACCCCAAACCCCAAACCCCAAACCCTAAACCCTAAACCCCAAACCCCAAACCCCAAACCCTAAACCCTAAACCCTAAACCCTAAACCCTAAACCCCCTAAAGCCCCTAAAGCCCCTAAACCCCAAACCGCAAACCCCTGAGCCCTGTGCCTCCCTTTTTTTGGGAGCCCCCAGAAGCCCTGGGGAGGTCGAGTCCTTGCGTGGGTTCTTCGAGACGATTCAGACCGTGGAGGGGAATGTCGGGAATCAGGTGGGACATTAGGGTTTAGGGTGTAGGGTTTAGGGTTTATCGCTAGTACTGTAGGACCCAGAGTAGGCCCTTGTTCCCTTTGCTTAAGTGTTCAGGTTTCCTCATAAGCACCTCCAAACGATTGCTGGCTTACTCGTGGGTCTAGACCTGGTACGCGTTTTAACTCCTGCAGCTTTTTTGTTGTGGGTTATACCGGCCTTTCATACTAAGTAAGGGGCAGACGCGATTGAGCAGCATGTAGAAAGTTTCAGGGAGGGGTCTACGCCTCTCCCAAGTCTGGTGCAGGGCTTTGGGCACTCCAAATGGGAACAAGCCCCACACCCTGATCCCTGATTTCATGTTGGCCCCTTGATCCCCGAATCTAAGCCCGAACCTCTCAACATACCTCATAGAACTCACATGCAAAGCACTGTCATGAAGCAGTGATCAGAACAGTTTTTACCTGCGATGGCGTTTAGGATCAACGCTTTTTCCTGCCGACTGCACGGCTCTCTCGTTTAGGGTTTCGGGTTTACATTGCTCGTTCTTGGTAGCCCAGTGGTACCCTTTTGCCCTTTCTGTCTGGGTTCAAATGTGGTGACTGGGCTAGCAAGCATTACAGCGAAACTGTCGGCAGATGGGGAAGCCCTACAGATCCGGAACGCAGCGCTGGCAGTCTGGCAGCACACGTTGCACTGTCAGTTGTCACTGCATTGTGATCTTCCGTGCCCTGGTGTCGGCGTCGGGTAAAGGCAAGTGTGGGCAACCACAACCACAAAGCTGTCAGACCAGACGCCGAAACTGGTAGCAGCCAAGGTGACCGATTTTGTTCGAGAGGCCAGGCCCATAATGATTCCAGCGAAGAACGCTGGCCCCAATCGCCAGTAAGCGGAAGGAGGGGGGACAGAGTTCCGGCAACAGGCCAGCTTGGGCCTGGCAGCTGCAGCGACTCCCACGGCGGTGGCTGCAACCTTCATACTTCCGCAAGATGCGGTCCGAAGTGATTCCGGCTTGATTTTTCAGCAAGGGCTTTACCCAAAAGCCCCAAACTCCTACTTGGAGGTTCATGGTACTTGTCTTAGCCAAGTATAACTGTACTTATAACCTACTTATAAGCCCCTGCCCTAGTACGGTTAAACGTACACTTACAAATACACTCATAATTGGATTGTAAGTACCATGAACCTCCAAGTATAGCCTAGAGGGCCAGCCCACGCTGCCTTGACCTGAGCTCAGATTGCTTGCGTTTTAGGCTTTAGGTTTTAGGTTCTAGGCTTTAGGTTTTAGGTTTTAGGTTTACGTTTTAGGCTTTAAGTTTTAGGTTTCAGGTTTTAGGGTTCAGGGTCTAGGGTTTAGGGTTTAGGGTTTAGGGTCGCTGTCTTGCCTGTGTTGTTTGGAGTTTAGAGTTTACGGGGTTTGTTAGGGTTTAGGATCATCGACCACGCCTTTGTGGCACCCACTTGGAGGATTGGGCTTAGTAAGCAGGAAGCAAGGCAGGGTTGTAAGTGCCCTGCAATATGGGATCCTAATTGGGGGTGGGGGGAGGGCTTATCCCACACAAGAGCCCTACTCAAAGCTAGCTGGACTTGAGTAGTTCTCTGAATCAGGGTTCCTTTTTGGGCCCCCTACATAATGCGGCGCCCTCTTAACAGGACCCCAAAAAAGGGACCCCCAATTGAGAGAACCACCCTAAACCCTAAACCCTAAACCCTAAACCCTAAACCCTAAACCCTAAACCCTAAACCCTAAACCCTAAACCCTAAACCCTAAACCCTAAACCCTAAACCCTAAACCCTAAACCGTAAACCGTAAACCGTAAACCCCAAACCCTAAACCCTAAACCTCGCTGTCTACGCGAGTCTACACCGCCTGCACGAAAGCAGCCTCGAGTTGCCTTTGGATACCTGTTTTCATGAGGATTGAAACGACAGAATCCAATCTCCACGCTAAACCCTAAACCCTAAATCCTAAATCCTAAATCCTAAACCCTAAACCCTAAACCCCAAACTGCCGAGAGCGCCGCTGTCCATTTTCATGGGGGTTCGAGGCTTCGACCGAGGTCCCCGACCGAGCGTCTTCACAGAACGGTGAGGGAGGGTAAAGCCTCCCGGTAGACGGGACGGCAGTGACTGGCTACGCTCAGACCAAGGGCGTAAGCCCTGTGTAATTAGGACCCCAAACCCCGCGCTGTTGATGTCGTTTTGGTTTTTTGGAGGGGTCTGGGGGGTACCCCCGGGGAGGGGGGGTTCCTGCACGATTTGCCCAAAAAGGGTTCTGGGGACCCCCGTAAGACCCCTCAGACCCCCCTAAACCCTAACCCTAAACCCTAAACCCTAAGCCCTAAACCCTCGTTGGGGTGACCCAATGGCCTTGTAGGTGAGCCTGCGCGACCTCAAGGCCGGGAGACCTTCGGGCTTTCGGGGGCTTTAGGCGGTAGGGTTTAGGGTTTAGGGTTTAGGGTTTAGGGTTTAGGGTTTAGGGTTTAGGGTTTAGGGTTTAGGGTTTAGGGTTTAGGGTTTAGGGTTTAGGGTTTAGGGTTTAGGGTTTAGGGTCAGAGGTAACCCTAAAGCCCTAGAACCCCAGGGGCTTACGGTTTAGGGTTTAGGGGGTTTGGGGGGGTTCAGGGTTTAGGGTTGAAGGTTGAGGGTTCAGGGTTTAGGGTTTAGGGTTAGGGGTAGCCCTAAAGCTCTGAAACCCCAAAGCCTGAAGCCCCCCCCAACATCCCTCAAAGCCCTAAAACTCCAAAACCCGAAAACCCTAAACCCTAAACAGACCCAAAACCCTAAAACCCTAAGCCTGAAACCCTACAGCCCGCAAAAAACCTGAAAACTCTGCACCCCAAAGCCCTAAAACTTTTGACACTAAACCCAGCAGCCGGTGAAGTGGGATGCCACGCACTTTCGGCAGCTCTTGGTCCGCAATCTGGCTTCTTCCAGGCTATCACCACAGCCTGTTCTACCGGGCCGACTCTCGGTGTGTGTTGCTTCAGAACGTGCAACGCCACAGGCTTCCTTCTTGGAACTGAAGCTGGCGTAGCCAGGGCAACCTCGTCCTTGACGGATGAAGACCTCTAGTCGTCGTGGCTCCTCCCTATACAGACGGGCTGGCGTGCGGCTTCCAAATGGTGGCCTGTGCCACAGGCGGGCACATCACTCAAGATCGCTACATACAAGCTGAAGCCAGCCTCGAGCTAAAAGCACAAAAAATCCAAACCCTCAGGAGGCTCTTACCCAAGACACCCTAAACCCAAAACCCTAAACCCCAAACCCCAAACCCTAAACTCAAGTAGACCCCTAAACTCGAAACCCCTAAACCCTGCAACCCTAAAACCTTCAGGAGGCTCTTACCCGCCCTAAACCCGAAACCCTAAACCCCAAAACCCTAAACCCTAAACCTCCAAATCCTCAGGAGGCTCTAGAACCCTAAGCCCCCTGAAATACCCCAAAACCCTCAGGCGGCTCTTACCGGCCCTAAACCCAAACGCTAAAACTGCAAGCCCTGAGAAGGCTCCAAAACCCTAAATCCCCTAAAATCCTTAAAAAGCCCTCAAACCCTGAAACACCCTAAAAACCCTAAAACCCGAAAAGCCCGAAAGCCTAAAACTCCCAAGTCCCAAACCCCAAACCCGAAACCCCAAACCCCAAACCCCAAACCCTAAACCCTAAACCCCAAACCTGAAGCCCAAGTAACCCCCCCCAACAAAAGCCCTCAGGAGGCTCTGACCCGAGACAAGCTCTCCGGGTTCTTGGAGTCGATGGGAATCTCCACTCAGGCCCAAGCCTACTTCGGGGTTGCAGGGGTTGTGGGGGTTTAGGGTTTAGGGTTTAGGGTTTAGGGTTTAGGGTTTAGGGTTTAGGGTTAGGGGTATAGGGCCTAACCCCTAAAATTCAACTCTAAACCCTAAACCCTAAACCCTACACCCTCTGGAGTTTTAGGGTTTGCAGGGCTTTGGGGTTAGGTCTAGGGGGTTTGGAAGTGGGGTTTTAGGGCTTTGGGTTTAGGGTTTTCGGTTTCTAGGGGGTTTTGGATTGGGTTTTAGGGGTGGCTTCAGGGGTTTTGGGTTTTTAGGGGTTTATAAGGGCTTCAGGGCTTTGGGGTTTAGGTTTTAGGGTTTGGGGCTCTTCTCTTCGCGCGCTGTAGTGTTTAGGGTTGAACAGTCTAGGGCTCAGTTCTTTTTTGTTTTAAGACCAGGGTCGGGTTTACATTCAAAGCGTGCTTAGCTGTACTCTGAAAGCTCTGAGCCCTGACGCCTTGATGTTCACTCTAAACCCTAAGCCCGAAACCCCACCACCCCAAAACCCTACAAACCTAACCCCCAACTCTCAACCCTAAACCCTAAGCCCTGAACCCGTAACCCCTTGACTTCTAACCCTAGAACCCTAAATCCTAACCTGGAACCCCTTAACCCTGAACCCTGAACCCCTAAACCCTAAACCAACGCTAAACCCTAAGCCCTAAAACCCTGAACCCTAGTTGGAGGTTCATGGCGCTTATTAACCAATTATCAGTGTACTTATGACCCACTTGGAGGCTAATATGGCGATAAGTGCAGTTACACGTACAGTTAGAATTGGTTACCATGAACCTCCAAGTAAACCCTTAAACCCTAAACCCTAAACCCTAAACCCTAAACCCTAAACCCTAAACCCTAAACCCTAAACCCTAAACCCTAAACCCCTTTCGGAAGGACGTCTGGAGCCTCTTCATGATCATCGACGCCGATCGCAGCGGGCTGATCGACCTCGAGGAGTTCGTGGCCGGATGCATGCCGCGCGGCGCAGTCTGAGAGCCCTTCTAGGGTTTAGGGTTTAGGGTTTAGCGTTTAGGGTTTAGGGTTTCAGGGTTTAGCTTTCATTTGCATGCCACGTGGCGGAGTCTGAGAGGGTTCTTAGGGTTTTTAGGGTTCTTAGGGCTTGTTAGGGTTTAAGGCTTTTAGGGTTTTCCGGGTTTCAGGGTTTTAGGGTTTTAGGGTTTAGGATTTTGGGGTGTGGGGGGTTTTAGGGTTTTGGGGGGTTTTCGGGTTTTTAGGGTTCTAGGGTATAGGGTTTAGGTTTAGGGCTTTAGGGGTTTTAGGGCTTTAGGGTTTTGGGGGGGGGGGTTAGGTTCTGAGGGTTTTTAGGGTTTAAGGGTTTTAGGGTTTTTAGGGGTTTTAGGGTTTTTAGGGTTGTAGGGGGGGGGTTAGGGGTTTAGGGTTTTAGGGTGTTTTAGGGTTTAGGGTTTATTTGCGGCGGATTCTTCGAGTGTCTTGGAGGGTGGGTATTTAAAGGGTTTGTGGGGCTTACGGGGCTTTATAGGGTTTAGAGCAGAGGTTCTTTTGCAGCGCATTGGAACCCCCAGTCTGTACTTTGGGCAACCTGGAGCCTTTGGTGTTTTTTGTTTGTTTAGGGGTTTCGGGTTTAGGGCATAGGGCGATTCAATCGAACCCACATCTCTTGGCATGTTTGACCAGACGCGGGCTCGTTGGCGCAAGGCCAGTGGCAGGCCGGGCGATGTTGCAGCCAAGGTTCTCCTCCGGCGCTATATCTGTTGTAGCAGATGCTACCAGCGATTCACCACGTGGGAACTCTCAGCCCTCAGCCGGCCGGAACTTTTTGTCAGGGCATAGGGTAGAGGGTATAGGGTATGGGTATAGGGTATAGGGTATAGGGTATAGGGTTCAGGATTTAGGTTTAGGGTTTAGGGTTTAGGGCTGAGGCATACCCGCAAGTCTGAGCCCGAAACCCCTTTGAGGGGAGCCTGTGGGAACCCTATGAGTTTGAGGCCCACGACTTCGAGGCTTAGAGAGTAATCAGATGTTTTGGGTGCTAGGTTTCAGAGGGTTTAGGGCGGATTTGGTTACCCTAAACCCTAAGCCCTAAACCCTAAACCCTAAACCCTAAACCCTAAACCCTAAACCCTAAACCCTAAACCCCTGAACTCCTGAAGAACTGACAAGGCAACTCCATGGACCGGCCAAGAGCCTGCACGTGGCCAAGATGAGCCACGACAACAAGGCCGTCTCGGGATTCGGGGGGGTTTAGGGTTTAGGGTTTAGGGTTTAGGGTTTAGGGTTTAGGGGTTCAGGGGGCTTGAGTAGGGTTTGGTCCAGGGTTTAGGGCCGAGAGGTGAGCCGAGTTTCGCCATGCCAGGTTTTAGGGTTTAGGGTTTAGGGTTTCAGGTTTAGGGTTTAGGGTTTAGGGTTTAGGGTTTGCAGATTGTCTGCAGCTTAGAAAGACAGTTTGCAGTGGCTATCCGGGATTGTGTGGCATGTTTGCAGACGGTTTGGAGCTCTAAACCCTAAACCCTAAACCCTAAACCCTAAACCCTAAACCCTAAACCCTAAACCCTAAACCCTAAACCCTAAACCCTAAACCCTAAACCCTAAACCCTAAACTCTAAACCCTAAACCCTAAACCCTAAACCCTAACCCCTAAACCCTAAACCCCAAACCCCAAACCCTAAACTCTAGGCCTCAACTTGCCCCTAAACCCCTAAGCTCCCGAGCACGCAAGCCCTCAAGCCCCTAACCCTAAACCCTAAACCGTAAACCCTAACCCCTAAACCCCCTAAACCCCCTAAACCCCCTAAACCCTAAACCCTAAACCCTAAACCCTAAACCCTAAACCCTAAGCCTAAGCCTAAACCTACCCTAAATCCCGAAACCTACCCTAAACCGTCGCCCCATATCACTCGTATGTCTTTCTAAGGATCAACCCTGGGTTCGTTTAGCCTGTACTAAAGGGCAGAGACCACACCGCCCCCCCCCCCCCCCCCCCCCCCCCCCCGCCCCATTACTTTAGGGTTTAGGGTTCCGGGTTTTTGGTTTTTCTTCCCCGGTTGAAGGATTGAAGGCCGGTAGAAGCCCAGGGAAACGTCCCAATAGTTTTTTGTAACTACGTGTAAAACTACCCAGGATGTCGAAGCCCCAAGCCCCAATCCCTAAACCCCAAACCCTAACCCAAACCCCATGGTGGGTTAAGCCTGAACACTTATTCGACACACGCAAGTCCGACCGACCCCTGAATCCCAAACCCTAGACCCTGCTTAGAAGCCACTTACTGAGTCTGCTTCGCATCCCCTAGCAACCCAACTGCAATCCCCATAACCCAGCTTACTAAGTGCTCTTACTAAGTCAAAAGGGTGTAAGGTTTAGGGTTTAGGCTTCCCACCGTTCGGTTTAGAGGGCGCGTGCCAAACTGTAGCGCCCGAGCCTCTGGATCCTCCAGCTCAAGGGGTTTAGGGCGCAAGGCCTGTATGCTTTTAGGGTTTAGGCTTGCAGGGCTTTTCGGGTTTTAGAGCTCAGGGCTCTCTTTGTTTTAGGGCTTTAGGGTTTAAGGGTTTAGGGTCTAGGGCTATCGGGCTTTTAGGGCTTGTGGAATCTTAAACCCTACATGTAACCCCTAAAGGGTACTTGGGAGATCACTTGGGAGGTCAAGGGCCGGAGGCCACGGCCCATCTCGGCGAACCGTTGGACTGTCTCGGAGAAGACCATACCGAGGGTTCTTTGAGGCAAATCAGAAGCCATGGAAGGCGATGCTTGATCCATTGCACCTTCAACCAGGTGCACTGCGTCTGAACAGCAAGATGGCTCCGGCAGCAAGGCATATGGCGTGGCCATTCCAACGTGAAGGGGTGCAATCGTCCGCAACATGACCGGGCGCTGTGTGTTTTGCGACAAGGTTAAAAAATATGTAGGACTTCCGCTTCAGGGTTAGGGCGTATAGAGTTTGGACCTCCCCCCACCCCCGCTTCCTACTTTAAACGGTTTCTACTGTTCACGGTTTTGCTGGGATTTAGGATGTTGGGGCTTTAGCTTAAGTGGTGCCTAGAATTCTAATCTCGCTACGCAGCCATGTTGGCTTCCTCTGTCTTGCGTGTGGATGATCTCAATGTGAACCAGGTGGTAATCAGGATGCTGCGTATCCGCATGCTCTCGGGTGAAGAGGTGACAACCATGCCTGTGGAGGAGGTGGGCAGCGTGAGGGAAGTGAAGCAGCGGTTGCACCAGCTGCATGGCCTGCCTCCGCGCTTCAGGCAGAGGCTCATCTTCCAGGGAACCAATCTGGATGATGCCGACAAGCTCGACTCGCCCCTGGACCTGATTCTCGTTGTGCTATCTTACTCCAGCCCTTCGCAGACAGAAGGGAAGGAGCTCACCGATGCCACCAAAAATGGCTCGCTGGAAAAGGCTGGTGTGCAATACGACAGATCATTAGTACCCGTAGAATGCAATTAGGTAGCGAGTTCTCTGAGTTTGCAATACACAGGCTTAGGGGCCCCAAAGGAATCCCGAACTGCCGGAAACCTTGAGGTGGAGGCCCTGCTGCAGCTGCCTCTGGACCCGAATGTGGTCATCTCTGGTCGGATGATACTTCTGTGGGCGTCTTTCTTTGGCCATGTTGAAGTTGTGCGTTTGCTGGTGGAGGCCGGTGCCGACAAAGACATTGCCAACCACAAGGGCAACACCGCCCTGATGTTCGCAGCTTACAGGGGGGGAGTTGGGGTGGTGCGATTGCTGATGGAGGCCGGTGCTGACAAGGAGTTGTCCAACAACGCCGGCTTCACTGCCCTGATGTTCGCAGCTGCCGAGGGCTACGTTGAGGTCGCGCGGTTGCTCGTGGAGGCGTGCGACAAGGAAGTGGCCGCCAACGATGGCCGTACCGCCCTGATTTTTGCAGCTGACCGAGGCCACGTGGAAGTGGTGCATTTGTTGTTGGAGGCCGGTGCCAACAAAGATGTGGTCGATCACGATGGCCACACCGCTTTGATGATGGCCGCTGGCGGGGGCCACCTTGCGGTCGTGCGTTTGCTATTGCAGGCCGGTGCCGACAAGGATGTTGCCAACAAGTCTGGCCTCACAGCCCAGGCGCTCGCAGGCGGTTATGCTGAGGTCGCGCGGTTGCTGTCTGAACCCACCAGGAAGCGGAGAAGGCGCACCTCTTTACATTATTAGCGTGCTGTGAGTCTGCGTCAGGCTGGTGGTAAAGCTTCACGAGTCTTTGCCGGCTTCCCACCCGCGGGCCTTTTACTCAGCCATAAAGGCCCAACCAAGGCCATCGAAGGCCGCAGAAACAGGAGAAGCGCCAGCATTTGCAAGCCCTAAATACTACCAGGAACGCAAAAAAAAACGAGACATCCAATCCCAACCACGCTCGTGAAACCCGACCTGGAATACGGAATACCCTACTCGGTAGCCCAGCGGTGCCCTTTTTGGGTTCTGGGTTCCCTTCTCAAAGCAAGCAACCTCAAAAAGGGGTGCCCTTGCTGGAGTATGGTTACCGGGCGACCCAAGCCTGTTTACCTTCCAAACGGCTTCGTTTCAACGGAATAGCTTTTTTTGAAGGGTAGATTTCTCTCTAAAAAGCCCTGCCTAACCCCTGATGCCTGGAATCCTACTTTCGGAAGTTTTGACTCATGTCTCATACATTCCCACTTATGACTTAACTGTAGAAAGGCCTCACTTTGAGTCCCTTGAGTTTCAAGTAGACCCTATACCCTAAACCCTAAACCCTAAACCCTAAACCCTAAACCCTAAACCCTAAACCCTAAGCCTTCCAGAAGCTCTGAAGAGCGACGCCAGGTCACGAGACTGATGATCCAGCACGTCGAAGCTTCCCGGCTTGGCGTGCAGGGTTTGCGGGTACGGGATTACGGGATTTAGGGCATTTAGGGTTTAGGATTTATGGTTTAGGGTTTAGGATGAAGGGTTTGGGGTTTAGGGTTTAGGGCTTGGTGTTTGGGGTTTCGGGTTTAGTTTGGAGGTTTAGGCCTTAGAGGCCGAAGGGTGTTTGAGCGTAGGGTGTACGGTTTAGGGCATAGGTTTTCAAGGGTTTGCGGTGTCGGTTTGGTCGAAGGGTAGTTGTATGGGTCCTTTCAGTGGTTCTGAGGTATGGGCCCTTGGGTTGTATGCCCACACTAAGGGACCATGTAAGTTAGCTGCCCTAAGATTTGGGTTTTGGGTATTTGGCATTGGAGATCTCTATGATGACATCTTCGTTGTAGTTCTGCAGCTCCATTTTCAGGCTCACCAAGTCCCCAAAGAACCTTACACACCAAGCCCTAATCCCTAAACCCTAAGCCCTGAAACCTGAACCCTAAACCCTAAATACCCCAATCCCTAAACCCTAAACCCTAAACCCTAGACCCTGAACCATGAACCCTAAACCCTAAACCCTAAACCCTAAACCCTAAACCCTAAACCCTAAACCCTAAACCCTAAACCCTACACCCGACCTAGAAGCGCTCGAGGCTTGCGTGGCGGCTGTCCTGGCAAAGGTGGACAAGCCACTGCGCTCGCGGTTTTTAGGGATTCTTAAAGGGAAGCGGCTTAGGGTCTAGGGTTTGGGGTTTGGGGTTTGGGGTTTGGGGTTTGGGGTTTGGGGTTTGGGGTTTAGGGTTTAGGGTTAGGGTTTAGGGTTTAGGGTTGAACGAAAGAGTCCGGGTGCATTTACATGATATTTCTGCTGCGCCCCCCTAGTCACTGCAAACCACTATTTGGGGTTTAACATTAGGATTTTGGAAGCCCACGCAAAGTCGAATGAGCCCCTAAACCCTAAACCCTAAATCCTAAACCGTATACCCTAAACCCTAAACCCTAAACCATCAAGGTAGAAGTCCCTAAGTCTTACACCCCTTTAGACCCAATGACAGGTGCGTAGAAGCCCCTTGAGTACCCGAATATGGTGATAGAATTGGGGTTAGGGTTTAGGGTTTAGAGTTCAGGGTTTGGGGTTTAGGGTGCCCCCAAATATCGAACCAGCGAAAACTCCGAAACTCATGAACACCAGCGAACATCCTATGGAGGACAGTTTCACAAGCCCTGCGTCGGACTGGCTTTGAGTGAATGTCGTAGTCGCCCTAAACCCTGAACCCGAGCAGTTGGCCTATGTCGACACATTACTCGGCAAATGGTGGATATCAGAGATTTGATGAATCATTCGCGCCAACATCCAGTAAAGGGTTCTTCAGCAACCAATTCCTAAGCTTTCATCACTCAAACCTCAACCCTCAACCC